TATAGCACCAATGGGATATCATCACTGGGATAGCACCAATGGGATATCTATGTGACTTTCAGTGTCCTTGTACATTTCATCGGCTCTAGATTTCAGAAGAGATGCCACTGATACCAATGAAAAGTGAGGTGGGAGTAGAACATGGGTCCCCACACTATCTATTCACACTGCCAATATCATCTTTCAAACAAGCGTGATATTGATGGAATGAGATGAAATCTTTCAGAACGTTTCAGTTACATTGTGCAGTAATGGAGTGAATAAGCCTAGGAATCCAAAATATGTGCACAATTCAGCTAATCTGGACACAATAATGTGGATCAATATCCTCTACAGTAGGAGAGCTCAAATCCAGTCCTGAAGGGTTAAAGATCATCAGGTTTACAGGCCTCTCTAAATTTATTTAAAACGGACAAATGTTTCATCCCGGCCAATTAAGCAAATGATTAGTTCAACAGAATAATAAAAGGCTCAGTAAGAAAGAAATCCAGACATCTTCTGTCCTGCCAGGCCTGGAGTTGTGCAACCATGCTGTATACTCTAAAGCAGGGGTGCCAAACCTTAATGTAGGATCTACTTTGTCATTTGCCAGTCCAACACGATCTACCATTGTGAATTTGAAGCTCTGATATAGGAAAAACAGACTGTGGACACATCAGTACAATAACTATTATTATTGTTACTACTACTACTACTACTACTACTACTACTACTACTACTACTACTAATAATAATAATAATAATAATAATAATAATAATAATAATGATAATTATTATTTTTATAATTATTATACCCATCACTAAAATGACAGCAAATAAAAGCAAGTGACTCATGCTACAGTGAACAAGCAATGTTCCCCATTTTAGAAAAAAGAATATCCTACCTTAATGTGAGCACTAACACTGAGAAGCTTACTTGAGAACACTTTTTGGAACATGTTGACAATGTCGATGACATTTTTATTTTGTCCCTGCAGCTCGACATTCAGCTCATTCAGCAGTGCAGTCAAGTCTGTGAGGAACGCTAAATCCAGAAAACACTGGTCATCCTCTAATAGGCCATATTCACCATGTTTAGACAACTTGAGAAACTGATTTCAGGCAACAGTTGCCTGAACCTCACCAAAAATGTTTGTTTTTGAAATCTGCAAACAGCAAGTCAGCAGCTTTAGCAAACACTTTTTTTAAATTACTTCTTGATCCCTGAATGACTTTTTGTGTTTGGCCAGGACGTGACTCACATGGAATGATGCGATGATTGCCGCTTTCCCTCTTGTATTAGGCCTCGTGAAAACCAACTGCTGTTAGTTTTTTAAATTAGTTAGTTAAATTTTTCCCCTTTTGATGATGAAAGTCCACATCATACGTTTTGTGTGCAGTTTTGAAATGTTGTTCTATATTTCCCTTTTTCATGTAGATGCTAGCATTGTAGATTTGAATACGAAAAGTACAACAAAAATAATCATGCTCCCATTGCTTGTGGTAATGGTACGTTTTTCGTCTCTTTGTTTCATCATTTCGCTCAAACACTACAACTTTCAAATAGGCAATCAAACATCAAACTGTTGGCAAATTTGTCAAGGCCAGTCTGTTTTGCTCCACTATGCACAGTAGTGAAACTGGGGTTCATGTGGCAATATCCAAGAGACCGTTCTTGGGTAGCACACACAACACTCTTTATTTACGGAGCTCCTGTAGTCTTTTTTTCAGTGTCAGCCAGCACTCAGAGAAGAGACTTTTACAACCCATTCGACAAGGGTTAAACACACAGTAAAGGGCAGTAAAATGTATGACATTACATGCATAGATCAAAATGCATTTTTAGGCTATCGAAAAAAGAAGTCAAACAGCCCATTTATTTTTTTGCCAAACATTCTTGCGATCGACTGGCAAACATCGACTAGTTGGGCACCCCTGCTCTAAAGCAAAGATTCATGGTTCTGGATAACCCTGATGCTGGGCAGCTTGTACTGTAGCTTTAAATAGTCAATGTGGAAAAGATAAGATAAGATCACTTTATTAGCCATATACAGTACAATTTCTTACATTAGACATTCATCTTTTCACATACCCCAGCTTGCTTTCCATGAGACACAGGCACACAGGCGAGGAAAGAAGCCTGGGGTCAGAGCGCAGGGTCAGCCATTGTACAGCACCCCTGGAACAGTTGGGGTTAAGGGCCTTACTCAGGGGCCCAACGGAGTAGGATTCCTCTCTACCACCATGAGAGCTGAACCAGCAACCTTCCAACCACAGGCGCAGATCCTTAGCCACAGTGCTACCGCTCCACCCACTAGCTTCATGCTAGCTTCTACTAAGCAACAGCTTGATCCAGTTCATGTCATGAAGATCTAATCTGAAATAAAAAAACAGAAGACTCTACAGCTCTTCAGGGTTACAAGCCCCTAATGTACAGTCTGGACTTGCACCTATAGCCTAAAGTGACTCCGGGATAGTATGTTAATCCATCACTTTAATTTAGAGAAGCTTCCATTAAAAATTAACAAGGAAACAATGAACAATAGGAAAAAAACTATTTAGAACATGTATACTTCCTGGCCAAATATTAGTAACCTCACTCAATAATCTAAAGGGAAGTACCTGAGAATACAAGGCACTTATTTTCCTAAACAAATAGGCAAGTATGGAACAAGCTGTCCAGCTGTTTTGTTGAGTATCATTACTTTGCTTAAAAGACAACTGGATGAGATCTTTGGATCAATTAGCCAATAATAGAAGTGAGCAAACTGCATCATTACTTAATCAATTAGAGATGGGTGAAATTGCCTGTTCTCATTTACAAGTTTTGTGCTATTAAGTTGCTTAAAGTGCAAGCACAATGGTCATGTCCGATGGGTCACAGTGCATACTCCACACGGGATACAGTGATATTGGCAACCCTGTCCCATCTAATTCTTTTAGCTGACTCAACTTCAGGCTCAACTGCAGTTGGGATTATGATGAAAGTTATGTTATTTCTGATTGAACTGTATGTTCCTCTAGTTCTCCAGCTTTCAACAGGATCGAGCTGTGGGAACTGTTCTGGCTCTAGAACCTAATGGATTTTTTTTTCATGTTGCTCAAGGCAACTAAGACAATTTCCCTTAGGGGCAATAAGGGTTAATATACTGTACATTGCCTGCCACTGAGGGTTTATTAATTTGACCAGCAGTTTCTAACATTTTGTTTAGTGAATGTGAACGTATCCTCTCTCATACATTCACAACAAATAAACCATAAGTAGTTCGAGTACGTAGCTGCGTCAGCCTGCGTAGGCTGCAAAGGTACAAGGTTCTTTTCTTCTCTTTTCAGCGTGGAATAAACCTTTGCTTGTTCCTTCACATAAACCATAATAATAATAATGATTAATAATTGCTTACACTTATATAGCGCTTTTCTGGACACTCCACTCAAAGCGCTTTACAGGTAATGGGGACTCCCCTCCACCACCACCAATGTGCAGCATCCACCTGGATGATGCGACGGCAGCCATAGTGCGCCAGAACGCTCACCACACATCAGCTATCAGTGGGGAGGAGAGCAGAGTAATGTAGCCAATTCATAGAGGGGGATTATTAGGAGGCCATGATTAGTAAGGGCCGATTGGAAATTTGGCCAGGACACCAGGGTTAAACCCCTACTCTTTTCGAGAAGCGCCCTGGGATTTTTAATGACCACAGAGAGTCAGGACCTCGGTTTTACGTCTCATCCGAAGGACGGCACCTGTTTACAGTATAGTGTCCCCGTCACTATACTGGGGCATTAGGACCCACATGGACCACAGGGTGAGCGCCCCCCGCTGGCCCCACTAACACCTCTTCCAGCAGCAACCTTAAGTTTTCCCAGGAGGTCTCCCATCCAGGTACTGACCAGGCTCACACCTGCTTAGCTTCAGTGGGCTGCCAGTTGTGAGTTGCAGGGCTACAGCAAAGTGCTATTTTAAGCACAGTAAAAAAACAGAACACATTTACTTCACCCAAACACTTCTGGCTTCTCAAACATACCTGAGAATGTCATTTAAACGGAGCATACCACTTAACGCTAAATACCGCAGAGAGAAACAATGTTGATTTACTTGACTTCCCGTCATTTGCACGGTTGCGCCACACTTAATTCTTTCATATTAGTTTGCAGTGGTGGTTACGGACGCATTAGTAGTGCCA